GCCCCCCATGACCCTGGTGAGGATTAAGGTGTAGAGATGATGGATGGATGGATGGATTCTCCTCAGGTCACGGTGTTTTCAGAGCTTGAGGAAAAGGCAGCTGCACTTCTTTCTACTCGACCTAAATGGTTGTGAAAGTGCCTCCCACAGTCATAAAAGTTCCACCACCACGAACATCTTTGGTCATCCCTCACCTGGCGGTTTCACAACCAGTCACAGCTTGAAGCGTGTGAGTCTTGGGTCAGTTAGAACTGAAGAAAACCCTCTTGGATGAAGGTGTAGCTTCTTCAGAAGTCCAGCTGCTTTTTCCTGGAATAAAAGTCTGAAAAATGTCCAGAAACAGATAAAAAACGTGATTGAAATGTCTTAAACGTATTTATTACGAGGTCAGTGATGTCACTGCTGGTGGGCGGAGTTTGTGCAGACCTCTGTCGCCCCCTATTGGCTGTCAGTCTGTTTCACAGTCACGTGTTTAACGTTTGGTTTTGTGTTCAGTCTTTGTCTCCCCAGGACCGAGCAGTCTACAAGGAGTTCTCCTCCTCAGTGAGTAAAATACTGCTTTCTGTTCAAGTACGGGTACTTTGAAAGGTTTACGTCAGACTACTGTCTGTACAAGTACCAGCAGTTTCCACCTGCATCTTTTTATAGTATATGAACTACTGCAAACTGCAGCTAACATTAAGCTAACATCATTGTAACTGCTGTTTGTTTTCATGTAACAAAGCCGCATTGTATTATATGTTAATGTAATGCTACGCTACCATGATATCCCAAGATCCGAAGTAAGCTAGCAGGACACATGCTAGCAGAACTTGATGCAGATAAACAACCATCTAATAATGCTGTGTGACATTAGCAAGGCTAAGCTAACCTTAGCAGCTATGTGTCTTTTCTTTGATTTAAATTTAGCACAGAGCTAACACAACATCTGGTGAAACAACAACTAATTAATGGGAACAAAACTAGCATGTTAGCAAAGCTAAGCTACCAGTGATCTATTAAAGGGCATCAGGCTAAGCTAATATTAGCTAATGCTACATTAGCCAGGTCAGTACTCCATCAGCATGATGCCAACAGGCTCTGCAGGTTAGCGCCTGCTGTGTTTGTCTCACTTCAGTGCGTCAATGCGTTTGTTTGTGTTTGTCAGAAACGTCGCAGTACCACTAAAGTCCGCAGCAGCCCGGGCGCTAAAGTCCGCGTGACAGCAAAGGGGAAGGCGGGAAGTTCAAGAGCTGCAACGCCCGGAGTCGCAGTCAGCAAGAGAGCGATGGCATACCGAGCCAAGGTAACACAACTACATGACATCGTATGCAACTACGACAACAACAACACTGTGTGCTCGTACAGCGTGTGGTATTCAGCAGCGTCTCTGACTCGCAGCAGGACATGTCGGACTCGGATGAGGAGGAAGAGAAAAGCGACTCGTCGGATTCGGACGAAGATGACGAGACGTCAGGGAGCACAGACAGCGACGACGATGACGAGGTGACGAACTGATCGATGAGATCAATCAGATCAAAGCAGGAAGCGTCTTAATCAGACATCCTTCAAGTCACCTGAAGGTCTCAGACCATCAAAACCACTTCAGAAAACAGCTGAAACCTTTTTCTGCTTCAGAGATTCTCCTTCAGGAATATGATGATGAATCGTAATCTATTGTGTTTTGTTTTGTTTCAGTGCATTAATATCCAGAATTTCTTTATAGTTTTAATTTAGGACAGTTTCAAAATTTACCAAATAGCAAACAAAACTGTAAAAAATAGTTTAAATTGATCTACTGATGGGCTGCAGNATGATGATGATGATGATGATGAAGATCATGATTATAATAATGATGATGATGATGATGATGAAGATCATGATTATAACAATGATAATGATGGTGATAGTTTTTCCTGAGTTTTCTTGAACACGATTGGTCGTTGTAGCAGCTTGGGGACAGGTGATGCCTTCGCATCTGCTCCCAGTCTGATCTGAAGCCCCGCCCCCACTGTGTCTGTCCAATAGGAGCGGCTACCAGATGTTCTCGCAGGAGCTGCTGACCAACGGCGAGCTGAACCACTTCAGCCTGAAGGAGCGGATGGTGGAGATCGGGAAGCGCTGGCAGAAGCTCAGCCAGAGTCAGAAGGACAAATACAAGAAGCTGGTGGAGGAGCAGCAGGTGGAGTACAAGGCCGAGCTGGAGGCCTGGGTCAAGGTGAGCTGCTGCTGTCGCCATGGCAACCACAGGTCTGCACAGCCAGACGCATCACCTGCAGAGAAGGCCTCAGCGCAGGTCTGTTAGCATGTTGAAAAAGCAAAGATCAACTCAGGAATGAAAACCTTCAGTTTGGTCAACAGGTGACAGGTGTTACACAAACCCAGCTGCAGGGGTTCTGATAGGACATTTGTCTAAATGTCAAAGAACTCGAGGAACATTTCCAGGATGGTTCCTTTCAGTCTGTTTCCATCACAGAGCCAAACATGACCCGAACAAACTGCGGTCTGTGGATGGAACTCCAGTTGTATGTAGGAAACAGAACCACAGACGTTTGTTCTGTCAGGATCTGTTTGAATCATCAGTGTTCTTGAAAGGTTCTTCAGAAACCTCTGAGGAACCGTTTTCATTCCACATTAACCATTTGGTTGATAAAACTTTATAGAATAGTGAGAAATGTCTGTCACGGTTTGACAAATGTCTAGCTGTCTGACCAACAGTCCAGAACCCAAAATATTAAATACGATCCAATGGAAGGAACCCAGAAATGCTGCACAATCTTTGATTTGATTTATTTGCCTAAAATTAAACAATAATAAAGTCCTGTTACCACAGTAGGAGCAGGGAGATCCACACAGAGCTGTCTGGAAACGGTTCCTTAAAGAACCGATTTTTGCTCACATCTTAGGAAGAAACCACGTTGTGATGGTTCTTGAGATGCCGTTGTTTGTGGAACTACAGCTGTTTCTTCTGTGGCGTCCACAGTAATTTACCAAATAGCAAACAAAACTGTAAAAAATAGTTTAAATTGATCTACTGATGGGCTGCAGGTGGCTCAGTGGTTAGCATCGTGGCCTCACAGCTAGAAGGTC